TCCCTCTGCCGTTCCCCCTGCTTATGTTCTCTCACATGCGCTCTCTGTGTGTCAAATAAACAAATAAAATCATTAAAAAAAAATTTTTTTTTTTAAAGAAGCATTTCTGGCAGTGGCAGCCTCTCTCTCCTCCTCCCAGCTTCCAGCAGTTAGCCACCTCCTCCTTCTGTCCTCCCACAGAGCCCCAGTGCTGCTGATCTCAGGGCAGCTTCCTACCCTGTGGTGCTTCCACCACCTTTGTAACTTGATCTCAGCATCAAATTCCCGCAGCCGAGCTACTGGGCATGAGCCCCGTTTCCCTGACTTGACTCTGACCCATGCACATGGCCAGTTACTTGTTCAGTACAAACCACAGATTTATTGCAACCTTCTAGTGGAAACTGTGTGATCCTTTTATTTTATCAAGAGAAAGATGTGATTCCTTTGGGGCATATTAACTGAGAAAGATTTGGAGACTAACTCAAATTTAACGCTTTGTAAAGACAAACACAATATTTTAATTGGGAAACATATGATGGTGAAGCAGTATCTATAAACACCATTACCTTTGGGAAGTTCAATGAAAGCTGCTAGAAGGTTCATGAACAAAGAAGAAGACCGGTCTCATCGCTGTTTCTTCAGATTTGTGGAACTAGCTTGTGGTTGGGATATGTGAGGCTTTCCGGACAATAGTTGTCAGAAATTTGGAACACATGAATTTGTGTTTGGAGTTGACTAATCAGCTTCCGATCCTGTAAGTTCTTATACAACTGGGTTCTTGGTATGAATTTATTTTCAGATTTTGCTGCCTTATTTATTCGTTTCCATACCTACTGTTATTTCCTTCTTTGTGAGAGACACTGAACTGAGTCAGAAGTCAGGTGGCAGAGTGGAGTGAAGAGGAGGGTGGCTTCTGGGAATGCCACCAACAGCTGAACTGAAATGTTCACAGGTCTTCCCTTGGTGTATACTTTTGGTTTTTATGGGTCTGATTTGGTTAGAGGGTCAGGCCTCTATAGTCTAAAATGAAAGACAGGTGAGTTGTGATAAAATATAATTCAGTAAGAGCAGAAGGAAAGAATCATAGCCTTGTCTATAGAAATGGTAAAAACGTGAGTATGTTTCTATGAACTTAGAGAATATAACTCTGCTGGATAGTGGAAAACACTTATATTGCATTTAACATGGTTGCAATATAAAGCCAAGCTCATTTTCAAAGTCTTATTCTGGGTCCATTTATTAAATAGTTTATACTATCATTGAAAAAAATAAAAACTGGCCAATTACTGTCATACCTTTTAACTCTATAGCTAATTAATTACGGCTTCCCAGAATTGAGTATATAGATCCAAATGAAAAGAGCCAGCCCATGGGAACTATAGTTCCTGGTAGGTAGAAGAATTCATTTAATTTTACAGGACTTGTTTTTGTTTTGTTTTGGTTTGGTTTGTGTCTCTATTTTTGTAGCTGATTTATCTTGAGGTAGCATTTGTAAAAGATGGGGTGGGCTCCTAAGAGAATCTTTCTTCACCCACATTTAAGGGAGCTAGGATTCCTTTCACTAGGATTGACAGATGTCCTACCCAAGGTAGAATTCTTTTAAAGGTTCTTCTGTTTTGCTTTGCTTTATTGTTTGTGTATTTTGCATGCAGAATGGAAGTATCAAAAGACTACCAACATCTTAGCCCACTGATGGCATAGGGCAGGAAATGACCGGATCACACTAGTGATTAGTCAGAAAAGGTGTCACTGCTATAGGGAGACAGTTCTCCAGGGTTCTCTTGTATTTCTGCACGTTGTGAGGGAGGCCCCTACTACCCTCTTGTTCTGGATGATCTCTTCAAGGAGGTCACAGAGAGATCTGCTTATTATCCATTATAGTGAAGACAGTATCGCCCTTCAGGACAAAAGGAAGGTTTGCTTGCAGCTCCTTATTAAAGATCTGGGTGCCCTAAGCTCAGGGTCCTCACCTGTATGTAGTTCAGAACCACTTACTTGTAGCACCTTGCTTTTCATCCACTTCATCCCATAGTTGTTGGGGAGCAGGGGAACTGACATGGTCATCATGTCCATACTTCTTTCTGCCTGAGCTCCGAGTCACGCAGTCCTTTGTCTCTGACCCAAGAGTCTTGTGTCTTCTGCCAGCAACTGCAAGACTGTGGCATGCTAACCTGTGAGCTTGCAAGCAGGGTGAAGTCTCAGACCCTCCCCCGGTCTTGCCAATTACTCTAGCACTACAGAAGAACCTCCTTTCGTAAAAATTGGTGGAGAAAGTGTTGAAATTCACTGATGGAACATTTATGTTTAATATATAGAGTTGATAATTTGTATTTTAGTTTTATCAGCCCATGTGAAATACTGGAATTTTCTGAATATCTGTAACTTTTTATACTATTATCTATAAACATCCATTTCCCCCCAGTAAAAAGGATTTGGGCTTTTATCTGGCTGGATTTTATCTGGTATTAGAACAGTTTGTGATTTGTTAGCTGAACCAGCAGTTTTTTGCAAGCTAAGAAAAAATAGAAATACTATCTATTTATCTGCTTGTGAAATACCTTCTCAATAGCCCCGCCAGCTCAGCTGTTTTGGAAGACTTACTTCATGTTACGAGTGGGATTTCTTCCACGTCTGCAGAAAACAGTCACAGCCGCTAGCTCAGTGCATTTCATAAGGGTCCGTCCTGTCTTCCACGCTTTTTGTTTTGGCAGTCAGGAATTGCTCTAAATCTTTTTCTTAACATCCTTGAACTGGCCTTTGAAGGATTTGTAAAATTTTAAAAGGTTGTATGAAGAGGGTAGCATTCTCTGGTAAAAAAGAAAAAAAAGAGAAGAAAGCCATCAGTAGGATTTCCATGCCACTCCAGGGAAAGACCTGGGCTCAGAGGCATGATGCATGGACACACCTAAACAGGCGTTCATCAGAAGCACCGGCCACCCTGTCTATTACAGCAAGACTGTTGTCACACCCTCATCTGTGGGGCTGGGGACTGCAGGAGGACAACTTGTATGCCACTTGCTGCAGGCAGGAGAGGCTCTGGCTAACAGGTATACCACCCGGGGTTGGTAGGACACTTGCAAATAAGGACAGCCTGGGCTCCAGACAGCTGGCTTGGGGACACTTCTCTGTACAGTGGCACACTTCAGATGTTTGGAGAGTAACACCTGTTACCTGAGACATGGCGTCATTTTCAGATGCGACAATAGAGGCGTGTTACAGCTGTCGTCTTCGGAGAGAATAAACAGAGTTACTCTCTTTACCACCAGTGTCATTGTAACTGGACGGGTCTCAAATGTGTGGTTCCCAGAGCAGTAGTAAAAGCATCACCTGCCAACATGGTAGAAATGCAAATCATGGGCCCTACTTCGGTACTACTGAATTAGAAAACCCTGGTGTGGGGCCCAGCAACGTCTAGCTTAACACCCTCCCACCCTCCACCAGGTGATTCTGGTGCAACGGGTGTTTGAGAGCCACAGGTGTTACTCATTTTATCTCAGGTCAGAGGAGAAATGAGGTTAGTTGGGTTATAAGTAGGGAACGAATAAATGAAAGGTAGTGCTGTCAGATGTATAAAGGGATGATGGTAGAATTCGTTGAATAAACCTACTGATGTTTTCATTTAAGAAAATATATCTAATGCCTCTTCTCTGCGGGGCACTGTTAAGATACAGATATGAAAAAGGGATTCCATAATACTTCAGAGTCTATATCAGGGGTGGACCATTAATGATGGCCTATGGACAAAATCCCATTTTCCAAATGTTTTGATAAATAAAGTTGTGTTAGGACACAGTCATAGGTGTCCATCTGCATATCGTCTGTGGGTGCTCTCAGGCTACCATGCAGATTGAAAAGCTCAACAAGGACCCACAAAGTCCCACAAAGCCAGAAACTAATATCTGGAGCTGTAATAAAAGGTCGAGTCTAGTGTTTCCAGGGGAACTACTGTCCACATTCCAGGTAGTTATACTCGAATGGAGGTGTGGTGTGCAAGTGCTCTTCTGCTGTCCAGTGATAAACTTGTGCTGGATTTTTGCCGCAGCAGAGAACTTCACTTCATGGACGTGGTGATCGTGGAAGGTGTAAAGACTGTCAGGCAAGAGGCAGAGCAATTACTGTGCGGAGCTCCTTAATGTACCAAGGGTAAAGGGGTGTGTGAACAAATGGAGAAATAACAAGGGGAAGAAATGAAGAAAAATAAAAAGAAGATTTGGGTTGAGAAGGGAGCATATAAGCAATCAAAAGAATGTGACCTACGTGAAAAGCTAAGTGTGCAGGACAAGGCTGGCGAAGCCAATTAAGGAGCTAAATACAGGTGTAGAACATTCCCCGCTGCTTAGCGTTGGGGGCAGGGTCCGAGTCTCCCAGGGAATTCTGGGACCCTCTACAGAGGCAGAAAATGGTGCGGGAAGTGTCTGGGGAAGAGTCACCCTCTGCTACTGTGTAAGTCTCCGTGTTCGAACATGCTTATTCATAGGAGTGTTCCCTCGATTCTTTACTCTGTATCACATCCTTGCTGCTAACTGACCGATTGTGTAGCAGGCCATGGAAAAAGCTCTCGGTTTCCCCTTAGAAAGTCTGGTTACTTCCTGCCTTCACCTCTGATTGTTTGACTTTGGGCAAATCATTTCATGGCTCAGTGTCTCCCTTTCCTCATTTGTGAGATACTGTTTCAGGCTTCCTCCTGCATTGACACTGTGCTATTCTACTAGACTCACTTATCATGGAAGGGCATCGCTAAACCAGAGTCACAGAGCATTTCCCCAGCTCCAGGGCTGAAAGAGCAAAGGAAGATGAGCAGAGACACTTGGACCCTCCTAACAAGGGGATTGCGGACTAGTTTGGCATGGGGGTATTAGTTTCCCTCCAAAGATTTGATGTGGACTTATTTCTAACTCATATCTACTAATAGATTTCCTCTCTTGCCCGAAGAGATTGTTCACTGTGAAAATGTTTGGAGATGGGAAATGGCCAGCTGAGCTCCATGCCTGAGATTTCTCACAGAGTTCTCATTCTTTTAGGAATTTTTCTTTAAATGTGGAGCACACCCAACCTCCGACAAGGAAACGTCAGTAGCTTTGAACCTGATTACGACAAACAGTCGAGACATCACCTGCATAACGTGTACCGACATCAGGTAAGGCTCGGAAACACCATCACCCTCCACAGGTTGCTTTCCCAGTGGTGGCCTCTCGTGGGAACCTCCTCAGTGGTTTCTCTTTCTTGAGGAGTGTCTGCTTTGCTTCGATGCCATTCATGCAATGTGGGTGTATTTCAGTATGATCAAATTATTTAAAGTGCCAAATCCTTAGTGTGGTCCATGGTCAAAGCTTCGATGCCGTTCACCCAATGTGGGTATATTTCACTATAATCAAACTTTTTAAAGTGCCAAATCCTTAATGTGGTCAGTGGCCAAATAGTATGCTAAAGATATAAGTGAGATGACTTATGTCTACAAGTAGTGTAATCTTAAAAAAATAAGTGTTAGGAACACCATAATAATTTATGAGCACCATTCATTCTTGGAATATATGATCCATAACATTTTATTTTAAGCCATCTCTACACCCAACGTGGGGCTCGAGCTCACAATCCCAAGATCGAGAGTCGCACGCTCTACTGACTGAGCCAGCTGGGCACCCCAACATTTTATTAAAATGTCTTTTCCACACACTTCAGTTCTTCCATATAACTTGCCCAGTGTTTATATTGGGGCTTCACACATATTCATACGCCCAAAATAAAAGCATGTAGTTAGTTTGGGACCTGGTTATGTCTAATCTCAGTAGAAGAAAGAAAATGTGGAGACGCTGTGTTAGGAAAACCAGGGATAAGGACTAGATTTGAATTTCAGGTTGGGAGGCAAAGACCAAGTAGAAAAACCTGAGCCTATTGAATCTTCAGAGTTGATGGCTGAGAGTAGAACTCCTTACTTTATTCAGATGAACAGAAAATAGTTTTATTCCACATTCTCTGAGGTTGGCTAGAAGCTCAAATTGCAACAGAGGGATCCTAGCCCTGATATCAAGAAGAACTTTTAGTGAAATGCCAAAGTGATTTGATGAATAAAGTCAAAGAATCCTCCTTGTTCCAGACTTTTAAACAAAGAGATAAATACCCTCAGCATTTCAGTGTTGTCTCTCTCTAGTCTTGGGAGAGTGTTAGGTGGCCTTTTAAAATTACCTTAAGCTCTGTGATTTCGTGGTTAGTGGGTATTAACACTCCTAACACAACACTTCTATCCTTTAATAAATTTAAATAAAAATATTGACAAATAGAAGCCTAAAATCCTCAACAGCATCTGTTAGACAAACTTGTATTCAAGAAGGGATAAAAATGAGACTTTTTTTTTTTTTTTTTTTTTTTGCTGCTGGATTTTTAGTTCCTGCTGTGATAGGGAACACCACAATATTGCCTAAAATGCAGCTTTCCAACATCCCCTCGTAAGGTGAATGATTGCAACGAGCTAATGTTTTCAACTTGCAAGAACAGCTGATTTGTCTGGTATTTCAGGAAAGGACCTGGGGAGTCCTGAAACCGAGAGCTCGACAGGTCTGCAAGCACTGAGGAATTAAAATCACGTCTCAGTTGTTCATAGGAGAAAGGAGTTTTTCTCTGAGTCAGAATGCAGCCTGCCAGCCAATGTTTAAAAACCTTCCATTAGAGTTGGTAAAGATGGCGTTAAGATATGTAGTATTGATCGTACTGTCTTACCCCGAGCATTGCTCTCCATGCTTCCTGCTGCTAAGCTATCGCCTTCGTATGAATAACTCACAACATCCACCCAGAGAAACAAACCACTTCCCAGATGCACAGGGGGATGATTGCTGGAGAAGTAATATTGTCTGTTGCAATAAAATTTTTCCTCTATTTTAAGGGGATTTTATAAATAGAAGCTATTGTATTCAATTAGATTTAAGTGTGTGTGTAGAACCAACCACTTGACTGAATGAGGTCCCTTCGTATATAAGGCAGCAGAGGAATAGTCTGTGTGTAAAATAAAGGAAGAGGCCCTCTCCTCTTACAGTGAAGGATTCATACATAGGGATTTCATAAAAACCTGCATAAGACACACCAATACTTTATGTTGTACTTTGCTAATTGTTGTGGTTTCTTTTTTTTTTTTTCCTGCAAATGCTTTCTTTTCTAATTTAGAAGTGATTCACTCACAAAAACTTAAAAAAAAAAAAAATGTTTTTACCCTCATGGTTAGTAAGATTTTGGTTTAATTCTTTCCAGCATCTTGAGTTTGCCTAAATATTTGCATGTATACCTGGGGGGGGGGGGGGGCATGTGCGAAATGTAATCATATTGTATATATAGTTTTGTATCTGGCTTTTTCCACTTCACATTGCATCATGAGAAATTTTCCCTGCTATGATATATCCTATGAAAACAAGTTTTGTTTTTTGTTTTAAATAGGTACCTAAGATTTCATCATTTGAGAATACTCTAATCATTTCCCTATTGCTGGTGATTTGAATTATTTCTAATTAAAAATATTAAGTAACGCTTAAATCTATATCCCTTTCCAAAAATCATCGACTGCTTGTTTTGAATCTAAGAATAGTGTCTTAGAAATGGTAACAGAAGGTCAGTGTTAATGGACATGTTTAAGGTTCTTGATGCATATCGCCAAGTTTATTTACATTTTAGACCATGATTGCCTATCAGAGGGTTCCCAGCTGCATCTTTTCCAGTATTATGTTCATAGTTTTAGTTTTTGCTTATTTGCTAAAGGACATTAATTTTGTCATTAATATTTTTTTTTAATTTTTATTGGCAAGTTTGAGCATTTCTAACTTATTTGCATTTTCTTTTTTCTTTTTTTTTGTTTATTTGCATTTTCTATTGTGAGAGTAAAATGCAGGACTTTCTCAGTATGAAAACTTTAGGAAGAATCTGAAGAAAAAAAAAAGATGGACTCTGCAGTTACTTTCTCATTCACTTAAATATCAGTGTGTCCTTTATTAATATAAGGTTTTCTGACCTGTGAATGTATGTTTCAATGTATTTCTTTGGTTTGGGTTTTGAAATATCACATCATTCTGGAGGTAAATCAAGTTATTTAATTACAGAATTGAAAATACAAATTGGGGTATCTATTTATATTTTATGTTTGTTTTATTTATTTTTGTATGTACCGTAATCATCCATCATTAGTCAAATTAGGCATCATTAACTACATAATAGATTAAAACCAGAGGATTAATTTCAATTGCACTTGTTGGTCACTGGCATATGGGAAAGTGATTGACTTTTGCATATTAACCTGGTATCCTGCAACCTTGCTGTAACTGCTTATTATTTCAGGAATTAATCTGTGGATTCTTTCAGGTTATCTGCATAGATTATTATGTCATCTGTGAACATGCGCAGTTTCATGTCTTTCTTCCCTATCCATATCCCTTTATTTCTTTTTCTTGCTTGTTTGTATTAGCAAAGCCATCCGGTGTGATGTTGAAAAAGAGTGGTCCAGAAAGGACCCACTTGCCTTGTACCTCATCTTAGTGGGAAAGCTTCAGGTTTCTTTCCTAGTTTTCTGACAGTTTTTACCATGAATGGGGGTGTTGGATTTTGTTGAATACCTTTTTCTGGGTCTACTGATATTATCATGTGATTTTTCTGTTTTAGTCTATGATGGATTATATTAATTTATTTGAGTGTTGAATCAGCTATTTATACTTGGGTTCAATCCCTCTTGACTATTGTATATAATTCTTTTTAAGCTTTTCTGTATTTGATTCGCAAATATTTTGTTGACGATATTTGCATCTATGCTCATGAGAGGTATGTGTCTGTAGTTTTCTTGTATTGTCTTTGTCTGGTTTTAGCATTAAGGTAATTTTGGCCTCATAGAATGAGTTAGGAAGTATTCATTCTGTTTCTGTCCTCTAAAAGAGATTGTAGAAAATTGGTTGCAAGGTAGAAATTTTATTTATTGTTGTGCTTTACAAACATACGATTTTGTGTACAAAGAGATTAATATCTCTTTCATCTACATTCTTTTTTTTTTAAATCAGCCTTTTTTTTTTTAAAGATTTTATTTATTTATTTGAGAGAGAGAGAATGAGAGACAGAGAGCATGAGAGGGAGGAGGGTCCGAGGGAGAAGCAGACTCCCTGCCGAGCAGGGAGCCCGATGCGGGACTCGATCCTGGGACTCCAGGATCGTGACCTGAGCCGAAGGCAGTCACTCAACCAACTGAGCCACCCAGGCGCCCTCATCTACATTCTTAATAAGTGTCTAATAACATATTCAAGGGTCTCCAACACCACTAAGCCAACTTTTTGACTTTAGGAAAATAACACAATCTCTTAGGCCTTCAGGTTCCTTATAAAGTCTGAGAATTGCAGTAGGTCATCTATAAGTTTCCGGCTGGTTTTAAAAGCTTGCAAGAGGTAGGAACAGTGCTTGCTCACAGCTTATAAATTGATCGTATCATTTGAGAAAACACTTGTTTGTGGTCCTGCCTGCTGACAAATGCAGAAATAAAAGATGAGGTTTTCAGTGACACTCATTTCCACAGCCCACATTTGTGGTTATAATATGTAAAGGTCTATATGTCTAACATAGATGTGTTATTCATTTCCAGATATTAGGCTTAAAATTTTATTCAGGTACGTGGTTTGTGTCTTTCGAGTTTACCTTGTATATAAAATATTTTCCCCTCTCTTGGGGCACCTGGGGGGCTCAGTCAGCTAAGCATCAGCCTTTGGCTCAGGTCATGATCCCGAGGTCCTGGGATCAGGCTCCCTGCTCAGCAGGGAGTCTGCCTCTCCCTCTCCCTCTGCCCCTCCCCCTGCTCCTGCGCTCATGCTCTCTCTCTCTCTCTCTCTCTGTCAAATAAATAAAATAAAAATAAAAAATAATAAAATATTTTCCCCTCTCTTAGAGAAGTGAGCTATTTGAGAACCACAGTAGCCTGAGGTTTTACATGAACCAGCAGATTCCCATCTGCCATCCAGCCACGCGGTCCCCTCTACCCACAGTAGTGAGTTGATCTGCAGCCACTCAAGGTTATCAGTTGATAGTCTTACGTTTATGAACTAAAAGTAGTGAACTGAACAAAAAGAAAAAAAAAAAAAGACAAACCCAAAAAACAAAAAACAACCAAAAACTTGAGCCAAGAACAGA